CGTGGCGGCGCGCTCCTCCTGGCGGGCGTGGCGCGGCGTGGCCGGCTGCGCGGTGGGGTGCACCTCGCTGGGGCGGCCGTTCCGTCCGGCAGGCGGCGCGGGCTGCGGGCAGCGTGGGCGGCGGCTGGGGCCCGGCTTTCGGGCCCCCGGCGGCCGCGTTGGTTCCCTCCGCCGCGGGCGTGCGGTGGTGGTGCGGCTCGGCCGGTGGCGGTCCGGCGACCTGGTGGTGGTGGCCGGCGGCGCACGTGGTGGTGGTGCTTCCACTTGGCGGCTCTCTGTGCGGGGAGGCAGGGGAGCGGCTTGGACAGGGGCGGCGGCGTCGACGGCGTGCCGGCTGTAGTGAGAAGGCGGGAACTTTACGGGCCTCGGAGATCCCGGCCGGGCCTGTGCGGCCACGGGCCTGGTATGTTCCTGCTATTGCGTCCGGTCAGCTACCGTCGAGACGGTGGAGGTGCGGCCCTCCCGCGTGCCGACGGTGCTACTGCCCTAGTCCCGGCTCCTCTCCTTCTTTGTGCGGACCATGCTTCACGGTGCCGTGGGGAGACGGCGTGAGAAGCTTCGTGACCGGGTTGGCGCAGGGTGAGGGTCTTTTTTGGTGGCGAGCTCTGGAGTGCCTGGGGTGGTGGTTGGGATCGGGAGAAATCTCTGTTAGCTTGGCCGACACTGACGCGCTGGCGCTTGTGGGTACCGCCTGACCTTCCTGAAAGGCGTCGGGGCTACCCTTCCTCTCTCCTCACAGCGTACCGGGGGAAACCCTTGGTAGCAGCGTCGTCATCGTCGCGGTCCTTCTTGGAGGTGCTGATTGGTACCGGCGCTTCGGAAGCTCGGAGCTTAGTGGGCGATCTCCGGTGGGCGCAGCGGCCTCGAGGCTTCTTCGTTTTTTTGTCGATCCGCCGTTGTTGGCATTAGTTTTTTTTGTATTTTCTCTTTCTTTCCTTTTGGGCGTGACTGTGCTGCTTCCGCCCCAGCACCTATCGTTGGATGTTCGGTTGGTTGCTTTGTATATAAAGCGGGGGAAATCCTTTTTCGGTAAAGGTATCTTAGATGAAGAAACTTTCAAATATGCTCAAGATGATGACCCTGTAGACCCGTCGTGTCTTCGAAGTCCAGCACTCTTAGCAACCGCATCTTATCAGAAAGGAAAAATGACTTCCACCTCCCGAGGCATGTAATTGAGCGTAGACGGGGCATATCCACTATACTCTCAAACTCGCTTTTATCTCCCTTCCAGTTGTTGCTTAGAGCTAGGTGACGCATTGTCGCGTGGTTGTTTGAGTTGTAACCTTCCTCCAATGTAAAAACAAGATTTTCTTCCATTGACTTTGACACGCCAATTTCACGGATAAGATCATGGACTTGGCAGGAATCAATTCCTTTTGTACTATGAATTGATCGTTGGGATGGAAGGATAATACTCCTGCTTATAAGTTCCAGGAAATAGTTATCCGCTATTTCCTCCGCGGAGCGGCCACGCAACTCCCTTGAGTAACCCTCTGCACTCCACCAACGTGCCAAGCGTCCCCGTCAAACCTTGTAATCTTCAGGAAAGATAGGCATATATAGGAAACATGACTTGAGAGGATAAGGTAAACCATCATAGCTTCTCATAAGGACAGTTCTTATGGTCCCAAGATCTGGATTCATCCCCAACTCGGCACTAAGATGGTCATTCAATTTCCTCCATTCCAAAGAGGTTTTTGGTTGGTTTGACAAGAAGCCACGTATGGTGACTATTGCAAGGGGGAGTCATCTGCACTTCCTTACGATCAGTTCTGCCTGTTCAACTAGTGCAGGATATTGCATATTCAAATCTATAGTCTTCTTGAATACCTGAAATTCGTGCGGTCAAGTTATTTAGTATTGTGAAAACAAGATCAGGCTGGGAACAATATTACTTATTGGAATGGATGTCTCACATACATATATCAAAAGAATGCGTACCTATACTCAAATTATAAATTAAACATTTTGTGATAGGGAACAAAGCAACGAAAAGGTGTCGTATGCTGGTGGGTGGACCGTTTGATTTGGTAGGAATGGCTGCGGTTTACAAATCACTTGATTTCATCTTATTCAAAGTGACTTGGCAATTGGAATAACTAAATGATAGGTTGCACATCATATCACTAATGTTGGACGTATATTTTTAAATAATATTGACAGTCATCAACTACAATACCATTGCAATGCCTAAATTACTCCTAGTATGCATCATGGTCGTAACAATGTCCAAAGCCTGAGAGAAAGGACGTGATGTATATCAACTTACACTCAAATAGAGCTGATCAGTTTGGTTGAGCAGCTAAGCCATGGATAAAATACCTAAGACTGACACATAAAAATAAGCGTGATAATACTCAAGTACCTTTTTAGTGAAGAGATCACATGCATCACAGTGTTCTAGATCTTTGAGCATATATATGTCTTCTTGTCTCCCAGAACAAAGTTTAGCAATATTTTCTTCCCTTGTGGTGACAATGATCCGACTTGTATATTCCATTCCATGGAAAATTGGTATTATCATGCTCCACTCTGTAGTAGACGAAACATCATCGAGAACAATGAAGCACCTCTTTCTTTCTATAAGCCTTCTCATCTCCTTCATCAGATCAGCAAGTGGCATCAATAGTAATGTGTTCTTTGTGTTGCCCAGTAAACCCACCGCGTCCTTCTTTTCCGAAGATTCTCTATCCAGTTGCATAATTAAGCTCCTAAGAAGGCCTTCAAGTTTAAAAGGACGCATAACAGTTACGCAAGCATGCTTTCCAAACGTGCCACTGAGCTCTTGGTTTTGGTAGATATCTTTGACCAGAATAGTTTTTCCCAGACCACCCATTCCCCACACTGTGATCACTTGGAATTCTTGAGTAGGTTGATCTGAAATTAGTTCAATTATTTCAACGTTTTCTTTCTCTCGCCCAACAAGGTGAGATTCCTCCAAAGCATTTCGCCAACATGCTGATACGAGAGAAGTTTTTTTTTACTGTATTTTTTTCGTATGCACCCTTGGATTGATCCTCTAATATTTCACATGTGTGCACTGTAGAGTTATTATCTGTGCTGCTAGTAGCACGGTTTGAGATACCTGTCCAGAAGCGAGCAACGATTGACTCTGCCTTAGTTAAATATGTTCTGTCTTGAGAGACCTATGCAGAAGCGAGCAATGGTTATCCATGCTGACAAACATATACATGAACGAATGTAAAATAATGCTAAATAAGTAGCGTAAAATTGATTTAAATAGTTAAAATGCAACTTTGCCATTTGAACCCAAACTAAAGTATCCCGTCCTATTTACTGAAGAAACCACAGCCTAAAATGAAAACATGTCTAAAGTATCCCGTCCTATTTACTGAAGAAACCACAGCCTAAAATGAAAACATGTCCAAGGCTACTACTAGAATGGGAGTGCGCATTCTGTTTGCAAACCCTAGCCTAGAATTGTGAAAAAAGAAATTTGATGGTTAGATACTACTCCCTCCTATCCAAATTCATTAACGCAACTTTAGTATAATCTGGATAATTATATACTAGCAAAAGTGTTGCTTCATTGTCAATAATGGAGGGTAATTACAGGGATCAGACAATTGTTAATTTAGCTATAGATGATATGATACAAAAAATCTTTATTACATACAATAAACATAATGGTGCCCACTCGTTTGTGCGGTTATTTTCAAAGGGAAGATGTATATTAAATGAGTAATCATGTGGTTAACTCCAAATGAAATTGAACCATGCCTCAAAGTCTATCTGCCCAACGTTGTTGAGTAATGATGCTTTTTAATGAAAAAAGAAACTACAATGCAAGAAGTTGATCTAGACAAACAACACATGGTAGAATTTTGAATAGTACCTTCTCATGGAAAGCATAAATATTTTGATCACCAGACAATTGCTTGAGTTCCGATGCTATATGATTTCTTGTCCTGCACATAAGCTTGCAACTTCTACTTGAGCAGTGGACACTATGATCCTGCTCCCCATGTTGTTATTTGGGAAGCAATTTTTAACCCGATCCCACACCTCAATGGTGTTTAAGTCATTAATCACAATCAGGTACCTCCTCCTACTAAGGTACTCGTCAAACTTCTCACCAAGCTCTTGTGTCGTCTTCTTTGTTTCAAGCAGAGCTTTAGCCCCTACACCCATGTGAAATTGCTCCACCATACTCTGAATGAAGTCTTTGGGATTAAAAGGATGCATCATCCTGACCCAGGCTCGACATGAAAACTTGCCTTTAGTATCTGGATTCTCATAGACTGCCCTGACGATGGACATCGGCCCGAGATCAGCACTTGTTCCCCACACTGCAATCACCCTAAGGTTATTCACCTTCTGGTTGATTAGCTGAACAAGATCCAGTTTTGATTTTTCCTGCTTTAACGTACGCCTTGCTTCATCAATGCCAAACAGTGCTACCCAAGTAACACTAGAATGCTCAGCAGTCGTGACGGCCTTGGAGCCGGGGCCCTTAATGAGATTGTAGCGCATGTTCCTCTGGCTGACATCCTCAACATTGGCTCTTAGCTCCTTCATCTGCTTAGCCACACGGCGCCGACCCTGCAGTGTGCGACGAATACGCCACCAAGATTGCCTTTTGAGGAGCACGGCAAATTCCTGGAGCGTGTCCTCGACGTCATAGGCCACATCGCGAACTTGCTTCACCCAGACCTTGACCACCCTATTGTCGTCTCCCTCGTCATGGGAAGACATGAGAAAAGCCTACATCATCTCAAGCTCATTGGTGATGAAGAGTTGGTCACGCCGGACTCCGAGCTGCAGAGCCACACTAGTAGAAAAGGGGGCATTGGTCCAGGCCGAGTCAGCCCATTAGTCCCGGTTCAATCCAGAATCGGGACCAATGGTGGCATTGGACCAGGTTCGTGAGCCCCGGGGGCCGGCCGGGCCACGTGGGCCATTGGTCCCGGTTCGTCTGGACCTTTTGGTCCCGGTTGGTGGGACGAACCGGGACCAATGGGCCTCGCTCCTGGCCCACCACCATTGGTCCCGGTTGGTGGGACGAACCGGGACCAAAGGCAGTCCATTAGTCTCCGTTGGTGGCACGAACCGGGACTAAAGGGTTGGTCCTCGTTGCGGTCAGAGTTTAGTCCCACCTCGCCAACCGAAGGGCGCTCACACCCGTGTATAAGCCCCTCCCTCTCTGCCTTGTTGAGCTCCTCTCAAAGTGAAAATAGATGCCCTTATACAGAGAATTTGACCTAAATTCATATTGAATTTCTCTGAAGTTAGTAGAAATTAATTATGAATTTAGGTCTAATTTTCTCTATAAGCGCATCTATGCTCATTTTTTTAGTAAAGTTAATCACAACTATTTTTTCTTCTATCTATTTCCGAGTAGTTTTTATATAGTTTTTTTTTCTTTTCTGCTATATTTATTTTTTTCTATTTATTTCTGAGTTGTAACAAGTCTTTAAAAATAAAAAGAAGCGCAATGCTCGTTAATTAGCTTCAAGCCTTTCAGAATAGTGTAAACTGCACTGCACATAGCTCTGTGCAGTCTACCCTATTTCTCAAGGCTTAAAGTTAAGCAACGTGTAGGTTAGCATTGAGCCTCTTTTGCATCGTCTCTGCACTCGGGGCTTATAAACCGCTGCGAGTGCCTCTCGCTTGGTGAGGTGGGACTAAAAAACAGCTGCAGAAAGAATCAACTAAAAAACTCTATTACTGGTTCATGGCACGAACCGGTACTAAAAGGTGCTCGTGGGGCACCAGTCTTAAAACCTGTACCAAATAAAATGCCTTTGTAACAGCCTTAGAACTAGTACTGAAGGAATGAACTAAAAAGATTTTATAAACCTCTAGTATTATTGAAACTAAAATTATATAGAATTTTGTTACAAACTTTAATAGCAAAAAGGATTATCATAAAAGAAAAATAAATAAGTAATTAGAATTCTATTCAAAACATTAAAAGCAAAAAGAATTATCATAAAAGAAAATAAATAAGTAATTAGAATTCCGTTCAAAACATTAAAAACAAAAAGAATTATCATAAAAGAACATAAATAAGTAATTAGAATTTTGTTACAAACTTTAATAGCAAAAAAAATATCATAAAAGAAAATAAATAAGTCATTAGAAAGATTATAATTAATCTGAGCTAAAAAAATTAAAAAAAGCAAAAATCAAAAGAAAATAAATAATTCAAAGCAAAAAATAAAATAAATAAAATAAAAAACGTGCCACCTAAAGGGCTACCACGGCCTGAATACGACTAGAAACCTAACAATGGGCCAGGATTCAGGCCCGCAGTAGGCCCAATAGGCCCACAGGCACATTTAGTGAGTTTAGGCCCGTAAGCCTGCATTTGAGAGGAGCTCGAGAGGGCAGCGGGACTGCGGCTTAATTATAAACCGCTCGCGAGTTCCCTCAGCTAGCGAGGTGGGACTAAACTTTCGTGCCGCGACGCGTGCAGCATTGGGCCTTTAGTCCCGGTTGGTGGCACCAACCGGAACTAAAGGGGTGCATTGGTAGCGGTTCGTGGGTACAACTGGGACTAATGCCCCCCCCCTTTAGTCCCTGTTGGTGCCTCCAACCGGGACCAAGGGTTGGTGCCTCCAATCGGGACCAAAGGCCTCTGCTTGGTCCCGGTTGGAGACACCAACCGAGACTAAAGGTGGCATTGGTCCCGGTTGGTGCCACAAACCGGGACCAATGCCTTTGCTATATAAGTAGCACTTAGGAACATTTCAGAACTGCCATCCCCACTTCAATCTCTTCTCCGACCTGCTCTCCCTCGACGGCGGCGAATCCATCTCCCCGGCCCGTCCCGTGCCACCCCGTCGCCGTCTCCGTGCCGCCCCGGCCGTCGCCGCCTGCCCGCCCCGGCCCGCGTTGCCCCGACGCCGTCGCCGGCCCGCCCGCCCCGCACCGCACCTCGTCGTCGCTGTCGCGTAAGTTAGATTTTTTTGTAGTTTATAGATTTTTTTGTTAGATGTGTAGTAATTTAGATGTGTAGTAATTGAGATGTGTAATAATTTTGTTAGATGTGTACTAATTTAGATGTGTAATAATTTTTTTGTTAGATGTGTAGTAATTTTGTTAGATTTTTTTTCATATTGTGTAATTAATTTGTTCATATTGTGTTAGATTTTTTTGTGATTTTCTCTGTTGTAATTTAGATGTCTAATTTTTATGATTTGTTTCTGTTGTAATTTAGATGTCAATTTTTTTTCATATTGTGTAAGTAATTTAGATGTCAAATTTTTATGATTTTTTTCCGTTCATAGAATTTTTATGATTTTTTCTGTTCTAATTTTGTTCATAGAATTTTAATTATTTTTTTCTAGTTCATTGATTTTTTTTGTTAGATGTGTAGTAATTTAGATGTGTAGTTCATAGATTTTTCTGTTAGATTTTTTTTTATATTGTGTAATTAATTTGTTCATATTGTGTTAGATTTTTTTATGATTTTTTCTGTTGTAATTTAGATGTCCAATTTTTATGATTTGTTTCTGCTGTAATTTAGATGTCAATTTTTTTCATATTGTGTAAGTAATTTAGATGTCAAATTTTTTTATGATTTTTTTCTGTTCATACAATTTTTATGATTTTTTTTCTGTTCTAATTTTGTTCATAGAATTTTAATGATTTTTTTGTTCGTAGTATTTTCTTTGTCAATTTATTGTGTATGTATAGGAAAATTAGTTAGAAAAATAATAGAACTATAGTTAAACTAGTTTATTTTTAGTAAGTAGTACTTTATTTTATTTATAGTAAGTGCTTCATATATAGTTGAACTAGCTAGTTGATTTAATAAATCAATTTATTTTACTATATATAGAAGTAGTTTATTTTTAATAAGTACTACTT